AAATTATAAGCAAAGAATTTGGTTCTCATTGATGCCTACTCAAAATGGAAGTTCTCTTTTGTAAGGAAATAAAATTTAGTGAGTACAACTATAAACACAATATTTTTTTTTCTTTTCCCATGGGCATTGCACAAAACAGAATTTCTTAGAATTCCTATACTTGTAAGACATATTTACTTTTGGTTGTTCCACAAACAGTGAGACTATCTGTGGGTGAAGTTGCATGCTTCATAAATCTCAACTATTAACTTGAAACAATTTGATTAAACATATCAAAGTCCAAATTACCTTTTTATTCTCACTGTAGATAATTATATTACAAAATCATTGTCACAGGAAGATATCATCAAAGAGCAGGCAGCCAAAAAAATGTAAGGACAAAACTATTTTAGAGGCATATCAGGGAGTTAGCTAATAAAATATTATAACATTTTTCTGGAATTTTTATTTTTGCAGCATTTGTTAGCTTTTTAAAATTCGTAATTTGATGTGACATTTTTCCTAATTCTAAGTTAAGTTTTCCTTTGTACCTAGTTTTCATTCATAATTGTATATATTTTCCTTGAAAAGGACCCCCAAATTTTTAAGCCTTAGGTCCCTAAAACCTGGATCTACTCCCAACCTTCCTTCAACCAGACTTTATATTCCTTCAGAACATAGCCTATTGTTGATAACTCATTCCAGTCACTGTGCTGGAAATGCTGAAGTTCGAGGCCTCTCTAGAAAGATGGGGGGGGGGGGGGTGGATATAGCGCTACATCAGGCCAACATTTATGCACAGTGGTAAGTGTACATTGGAGGATGGCATGAGTCCTCTGGACTGTGCCATAAGAATACATTTACAGGTTTTTGTTCTTATTTTATACTTACATGGCCTATCAGGAAGAAATATGCCAGCTGAAATTGTAGACTTGGGAGAGAAAGAAAGAATAAAATGTCAAGAACCTGGAAAGGGGAACAAGTGGTGCTTTACAGGGGAAGGGCAAAGCAAGAATGGAGCCAGAGAATAAATTATAATTTTGTAACTAAAGAACTCAGAGACAAGAGTTATAAAAAAGTAAAGGCATGATGGAGGAACCTAAAGAATTAATGTCTTGATCTGAGTCTGTTAACCACAGAGACTCTCTTGGCTGTTGATTAGGGTACTTCATAGGGTACCAAGCAGAGCCAGAAATTAGTCCTTTTTAATTCTTCGCATCCTTCACTTCCTCCATCCAATCAGTTGCCAAATCTCATAAAATTGACAAGCTCTATCAAATGTGTCTCCTCCGTTCCCTTCCCACAATCACCACACTAGCTCAGGCCTACATGGCTTCTTGTCGGAATTGCTGGAACGGTCTCTAACCAGTTTCCCCATCTACAGGCTCACCTCATGTGCAGCAATCATTCCAAAATCATTAATTCCCACTCTTCACTAGTGAATTAAACTTGGCTATTGAAAGCCGCACAGTTAGACATCAATTCACCTTCTCTGCCTGAAGTGTTAGCTGGTAGCTCCCATCATTCATCTATACAGATGCCCTTAAACTGAGCATGTCTGAGACATGAGCAGCTTATTTTTTCTGTTATGTTTTTCCTAGTTCAAATATTCTATAGGCAATTCATAGGCTTGTTAGTAAATTTTCTCAGGGCCTGGATATTCCCTATACATTTAACTCTCCTTCCTCGCTTCTGACAAAATTCACATGCCTCCCATCCATTACTTCCTACAAAATTATTCAATGACTAGTTAGTCTCAAGAGATAACTGGGGCAGAAATTTGGCTGGGATCGATCATTATGCTCTTCAGTGGCATGCTGACTGGGTTTGTATCTTGCTGCAGAATGAGGGAATTATATGGACAGAGATGTCCTGGAAAGGGAAATCATAGTATATATAGTACCAATATTATTCTGTTTCCTGGAATGATGGTTCCAGTATCTGAGAGGTTCCACTAACACAATGGGAATTCAGATGTTTCTGAAACCCGAGGATTCTAATCAAGACTATCCTGGATGCTATTCACTAGAGCAAATGCAGCTTGCTGTTGCTTAAAAATCAAAGCACTAAGACCAACATCCTGATGATGTCCTATGAGCCAAATTTATACTCCTCCCACACACGTACTTCTTCCTATGTCCAACTCTGTCACCTGCAAGTTCAACATTGCTGCAAAATCGACTTCTGAGGAACTTCCCCATCTCCTTCTTTGAAAAAACTAGAATGATGGCATGAAATTTTCAAAAGTAATCTTTAGAGCAATGGGAAATATAGATTCTCTTAAATTTAAGTTGCTTTTTAGCTGTGAGATTATTTGCTTTTATTCTAATTCACACTAGACCATATTTTATTTGTTTTTAATGTATACTATCGTCACTTGCCAAAAGATTTGCAGGCAATTAAAATATTTTTTAAAAAGGACAATTAAATGCTGCAAATGAAAGGCTTAGAGACTAATGATGAGTATTAACATATTCATGATGGAGACTCCATGAAAGACAGAACCAAGCCTGTGCCCTTCACATGGAACCCTCTGTCCCAAAGTGGGATGATAGTGAGGGAGGGATTTGCAAAATGATTTGTCCAGCGGCTGCTTTTCTAAAGCCTCAGAGAACACCGCTGTCAAACTGATATAGCACGTCCTGACGCCACCAAGATGACACAATATGTACAAGGAGCATCTCAGGAAACTGAATTGTGGAAACACAAACACTTCATTCACCATGTCTATGAGCTGTAACTGGGGAGGACAGCTGAGCATCCCAAAGCATCTCTACTGAACACATTTTTGACTTGAATTTGCATTAAAATCATGAGATTCTTATTTAGAATTTCATATATTTTCAGGTATTTTTCTTCTCATTTAGCATTATGACACGTTTCAGCTGACCTTTGTTTCTTGAAGTAAATTAGAGATGAAATTATTTCTTTCCGATTAGCATCAACGAAATGACATCTATTTAGCTTTGCTATCCTGGCAAACCCTACTTTTGAGGAGAAGTGCAACACCGTGCTTGGGGTCAATTAATAGTTTTCTTTTTCCGTCACATGTTTGCGTGTGTATGCACATGCGACTCTGCCGATTTTGGATTTGGTTTCCAAACAGGAATGCTTCTTTTCATCTCTTCTGTGATGCCTCCGGGGATTAGCTGAAGGGAGACAATTGCTAATAAAATTTTACACCAGTAAACTTGGCTGGAAGAGCTGCTGTAAAAACCCCACTGATTGTCATAAGCACTCATTCATAAGAATGCACACTACCGCGCATATGTGGGACAGGATGTTTTGCTATGCCAAAAGCGAATTTTCACGCTGTTGAATTTATGCATTTCCCGCTGCTACTCAAAAGGCTTGTCTGAATGTTTAGGCAGGGGAGAGCACTCTCTGTGGGAAAATGCTCCTCTTCTGTTTGTGTCAAAAGGTCTGACACGTTCTCCAGTCCCCATTCAGAGGTAATTTGCAGACTATGTTAGATAATCTTCAAAAAAATCCACCAGGAAAGAACAGTGGGTTAATTTTTGCTTAAAAAGAAAAGGGCTGTAAAAAGCGTATTAGGAAGGGAGAAAATGGTCTTAAAATGGAAACCAAAACACGCATTTGGGAAAGATAAATGTAACATCCCCTTCACCCTCAGGAAATGAAATTTTTCTGACAGGGTCAGAGCCTCTGCTTGGCAAACCTTCTTAAATTAATTACCTTCTTGACATTTTAAAGGAAGGTTTCAGATTGTAAATTTAACCCAGACAAAGCATTCTTTTTAATCTTGTCAGTATGCAAACTACTTTGCACTGCAGGCTGTGAATTATTTATCAGAGGAACGACCCCAAAGGGCGAAAGGAAAAAGCAGGCATATTTGATCTGAGATTCCTCAGCTAGACGTGGTTCTTCGCCTTAGATCTGTACCTGTTGCAACTACTTAACTTTTTCTGCTTTTGATGTTTTTGATACCCTGAGCATTCTTTGTCTCTGAGAGGAAGACATTCGTTGCCGTTTTATAGTGCGCTTACCAAGATGAGGAAAATCTATGGCTCGGCAGGTTTCGTATGGCAGCCCCAGTCAGGTTGGCGCGAGGCACAAGGGGGCTTCTTTTCAATATACCTTCACATTATACATGCTGGACAAGTGGCATTTTAACCTACTCTTATGCCCATGTGAAATGGAGCCCGCAGAGATGAATCGTCAAAGAAATTAACTCTTCCGAGTATCGATAAACTGGTGCACATAATATTCCAACAAACATTAGCAGATTCGTTTAGGGCTTAAAAAAAATGAAAAGTTGCAATGCCCAGAAGCTTTAAAACAAAGTTATGGCTTTAGTTCTAGAATTAAATGTTCTTAAACTAAAGGATTTTGGATCAAGAGCACACATGCAACGGGGCATGCTTATTAGTTCCAAAAGATTATATAATGGATGTGGAACTGCACTAGAACAGCAACAGGGCACATAAGATCATAGCGAATACTATCTGTTGCCTCCAGTGAAAGAGTTTGCAGAGTGATGGCAAACCTCAGCTTCTAAAAACATCCCAGGGGCTGGCCCATGGTCAAATGGTTAAGTTTGTGTGCTCCACTTTGGATCACCAGTTGGGATCCTGGGCACAGACCTATGCACTGCTCATCAAGCCCTGCTGAGAAGGCATCCCACATGGAAGAACTAGATGGACTTACAACTAGGATATACAACTATGTACTGGAGCTTTGGGGAGAAAAAAAAGAGGAAGATTGGCAACAGATGTTAGCTCAGGGCCAATCTTCCTCAACAAAAAAAAAAGAAAAGAAAGAAAGAAAGAAAAAGAAAAACATCCCAACCACTTAGGTCCTTAGAAGATTGGATATACACATAAATCACCATGTCTTACCTGATAAGTCTTTGCAAACCCTGCTACTATCTCTTCTTGGGGAATCCCTGGGCTTCTCTTGAGAGAAAAGGAAAGATGCAGCCTCACTGTCCCTTCTCCCACCACGTGCAGTCATTTCACTCTGAACAGACACCCCCAGCCCAAATCCAATTGTAATAAAAACTCACAGCATGCACAGTTACACTTTTGCATGAGACACTCCTCCTGAAACGAATAAAAGAAATAAATATGATAACTAAAAAACCCCTAAAAAGTAAACATAATTTTTCATTGAACTTCCAAGGCTATATGGGTCTGATTTATTCTCCTTTGAAATGCATTTATGGAGTAACTGCTATGTTCTGTGCCCTTGCAGCTCAGCCGAGGAAACTGAGGGTCGAGGAGAAATTAATGGTCCTGTAGCTAATAAAGCTGAGATTCAAAGCCAGGTCTCCAAGACCCCAAATTCTGTACGCCATGCCTCTCTAAAGGTGAAATGTGATCTTAAACCTCATTGGTTGCCTGTGATTCTTTTCTTCATGCACATTTAAATCTGGTAGAAGTGTGGTACACCTAAGACAGGGCACTGAATAAAGAGCTGCACTTTATTGTTTTGGTCGGGCTAGAGATTTTTCAAGCTTGTATTCATATCTTAGCAATCTATCCTCAGAAGAAGCTGTTTTGGGCAGTTTATTTAAACCAAACAGATTAAAGACAGCATATAAATTTGAGTTCCGTGAGTATGTTTTCTAGAAGAATTAGGCAGGCACCTACCAAGATTATAGCATGCAAACAGCAGCGAGTAAATTGAAATCTGTTAGTCTGTGCTCTGTCCGACACACAGAGGATTTACCTACTTAATAGGACTTAGAAGAACAAATCCCCTGAGTGTCAGTGAGAGAAACTGGGCCCTCCGAGGTTTATCCTTTCACAGAGCTGTCACACATACTAATTCAAGGACCACAAGTCACCTGCTTGCTTTTTCTTTTTCTTTTTCTTCTTTTCCTTCTTCTCCCCAAAGCCTGCGCCCGCCCCCCTTCCCCCCCCCCCACCCAGGACATAGTTATATATTCTAGTTGTAGGTCCTTCTGGTTGTGCTATGTGGGATGCCGCCTCAGCGTGGCCTGATGAGCCATGCCATGTCCACGCCCAGGATCCAAACCCTCAAAACCCTGGGCCGCTAAGCGGAGCACGTGACCTTAACCACTGGGCTGTGGGGCCGGCCCCTCACTTTTTCTGATAATTCCACTTTCATTTACCTCTGGATTAAGCACCAAATGCAGAGCATTGGACCCTCCACACCAACGTCATCTTCACGTGGTTGAACCTGAACAGTAAGAGCCAGACCCAGGGAAGATGTCCTCTCAGAGTCGCAGCATATCCGATGCCAGAACTGGAAGGAGATGCAGAGATCAGCTAGTCCAAATCTTTCATTTACTAGGAAGTGAAGAGATGGGTACAAGGCCACCTGCCTTGTCTGAATTAGAACAAGGACTAACTGGACCACACGTGTCATGAGACTCATCATGACTTTAACTGAGATAGTAGTTTTTTGTTTTAATATCACTGGAAAAGTCAGAGTTCTCCAGAGAAACAGAACCAATAGGATAGATAACTAGAGATAGAGATAGAGATACGGATATAAATATATAAAGAGATTTTTTATAAGGAATTAACTCATGTGATTATACAGGCTGACGGGGCCCAAGATCTGCAGGGTGAATCAGCAAGCTGGAGACCCGGGAGAGCCAGTGGTATGGCTCCAGTCTATACCATTGACTGACAGGCTTGAGACCCAGGAAAAGGCTAGGTTTTAGTTCCATTCCAAAGGCAGGAAAAAAACCAATGTCCCAGTTCAAAGGCAGCCAGGCAGGAGGAATTCTCTCTAACTCCGGGAAGGTCAGTCTTTTTGTTCCATTTAGGCCTTCAGCTGGTTGGATAAGGCACACTCACATTAACAAGGGCAGTCCGCTTTACCCAGTTTAATTTTAATCTCAGCCAAAAACACCTTCACAGAAACACCCAGAATAATGTTTGACCAACTATCTGGGCACCCCATGGCCCAGTCAAGTTGACACACAGAATTAACTATCACATCACCTAAGCTGAGGATTGTATTCTATTAATTCACATATCAGTTAGGAACTCATTCTTATACTTAAAAACTAAAAGAAAAGCAATTCAGATATTCATAAAATACAGTAGCTATTATCAAAGCATAAAATAAGCAGATCTAGGGCTGGCCCAGTGGAGTAGTGATAAAAGCCTCAATGACATTTACCGGCTCTGTCCAATGTTTTGAACTGGATGCTTAAATTATTCTTTCTGATTCTCTAAAATACAAGCACAAAACTCACAGATGTAAATAATACAATTAATCTTAAAGTCTAATTAAGTTCAATGTTTATTTAGACATTTAAATCACTTAAGCCAGCATATTGCGAAAATCTAGGGTACAGTGATTTGTTGTCTAAAGGATGTGAAGGGCTGAAGAAGACTTTTCCTCAATCGTACTAATATAGTCACACACTTCATCCAGTACTCCATAAATATTTAATGCCAATGGAAATAAAACAAGTTTGTCATTCATTTATTAAGCAAATTCATAGAAATAGACATATATTTAAGATCATGCGGGTAGTGGTTTTAAAATATATCCACAAATTCTTTGGTACTTCTCCCTTCAAGAGGCAGAGCTGAACTCCCCCTCCCCTTGAGTGTGGGCTGGACTTAGTGACTCACTTCTAAGAAACAGGCAGAAGGGATGGTGTGCAACTTCTGAGATTGGGTCATAAAAGATAGCATAGCTTCTGCCTTCCTCTTTCTTGAACTGCTGTCTCTGGAAGAAGCCAGCTGTGATCTCATGAGGGCACTTAAGCAGCCCCATGGAGAAGTCTATGTAGCGAGCACCTGAGGCCTCCTCCCAACATCTAGCAAGGATCTGAGGGCACCTGCCGACAGCACGTAAGAATGAGCCAGCTTGGAAGCAGATCCCCCAGCCCCAGTCAAGCCTTCGGATGACTGCAGCCCTCCTGCGGTTCTCACTATAACTGACTCTACAGGAAAGATCCTGCATCAGAATCATCCAGTCACACTTCTGATCCACAGAACTATGAGATAATAAAATTTATTGTTTTCAGCTGCTGAGTTTGGAAGTAATTTGTTTTACAGCAATAGGTAATTCATCCATGTGAAGTCTAAATTGCCATTATCTTAAGACTTTTTGTCCACAAATTATCATTAACTTACAGTATGTTGTATTCACAATTTACAGGTCATGTATTTTTTAAGCCAAAATAAATTTATGCGTGTATCTATAGGAATAACTCAATTTTAATATTTGCAAATTATTTTCCTCACATGAGCATCACCCTGAGCACGAGTGATAAAATTGTTTTTCAATGTTTTGGTGGAAAAATGGCCCTGCTACAATAGCAGAAGCTTGAAAGCTACTTTGAAACCCACTTTAATCTTATTCTTTTTTTTTTTTCTGGTTGTGATATTGTAGTTTTATGAGACAATATAAATGATGGCTGGTACTTTGATTTTTTTTTTTATTTGCAAAGCTCAAGCGTAAGTTAAAAGCACAGTTAGTTCTTCCAAATAAACTCCCAATTATAAAAAATAATTAAACATTATCTATAATTATTTCTTCAAGATTAAAAATTATTCCCCTTTCTGCATGCTCATTTTTAATTATTTTCTTTACTCATCTATTCATGCTACATTAAGATTCATTTAATTAATTACTTATTCTCTGTGCAAATCTGCATTTTTATTCTTTTCTAACTGTTCTATATCCTCACCTCTTGCCTGGTGTTTTCCTCCTACGCCTCCAGCCAGCACTAACCCCCTCTTCTCTTTACTTCAGCTGCTCTTGTAATGTAGCTCCTTAAAAGTAAAAAGAATATTGTTTATGTCAACTTCCAATTATTTCAACTATGTCACCCTTATCTTTCAAAGAACATTGTAGGCTCCTTCAATTTCTTTTCTCTTACATGCTTTTGAGGCCTAATCCAGTGCTTGGCACACAGGAAGCACTCAGGAAAACTATGTTGCATTGTATTTATTTTCTTCTCCCAGTGGTCCTTGCCTCCTAGTATCTTATTCTCTGCTTTTGAGAAGAGCCTTATCCGGCACTAAGTACAGCGGCAAAGAAAAACAGAGATGCCACAGACAGGAGGCAGGCAGTTGGAGAAGGAACTAGCAGGAAGAGACAGGGCATGGCACTCTCGTGCCTTCTGAGTACATTCCTGAATACACATTTGCTCCAGGGACACAAAATCATTGCGTCTCCTCTCTTTTTTATTTTTCCTTTGACTATCATATTGACAGAGTACAAATATATAGGCAGTGTCACTTTCAGTAAAGTTAATGCTTAAGGTTTGCTCATATCTGCCCAGCCAGCTGAGTTCATCACTGTCTCATACTTGACTGCATATTTATGCATCTTTCAGAATCCCAATGTTCCCCAGATGCCCACTCCAATGTATTTCCCTTCAGACATTTTCTATTGTCTATAATAGAGTGGCATATAGTCATGGATGGTTTTACCTCCTATATGTGTATTTGTTCATTGCATTTCCTAATCTAGCATTCAGTATTTATTTTTCATCATTGACAGTTGACTGCTTTGTTTCAAATATTTGAGAAAGAGAAAATGTGAGAAAAAAGAAGGTGAGACTTGCTGATAACTCAGTTTAGGTGTGTTAACAATAATAATTTCTCACAGAAAATAGAAGAGTGAGGAGGATGGCAAATATATACCGGGCGGGGGTGGGGGAGTCTGCATCCTCTGCCCATTACTATTAGGCCGTATCACGTGTCTCCTGGAGTAACTAATCCAGAGGAGTCTTTTGGATAGTTTGTTTGTTCAGATTTGCTCAGCTCTAGAGCTATATAAACACATGATGATCAGGTTCGGTCTAATTATTTTCTCTAAACCTGACTTTTCTGGATCATTTGTCTCCTTTAAAACTTCTTGAGCAAACAGCTTTCTTAAACTCTTTACTTTCACAAAATACTGATATCTAGTATGAAATAGAAAGATGTTCAGAGAGTGAAAAATCGTGTGAGGAGGAAATGTAAACATTTTGTCAAAATAGGCTAGGTTTGTGTGAATGACAGAGAACCCTAAGAAAGTAGGAGTACCACAGGTCTACCATTTGTGCGGTATCTTAAAAAATGAGTACTGGCTTTCCTGATGAAGAAAAAGTGAAGGGAAATCAGTCAAAGGGAAGACATGGCACCATGGAAGGACATAACTTGTTCAGGGAAAGGTGAGAAATTGGATGTGGCTGGAGTTTAGTGTACATGGTGGGGAGTGGTGGATGGGAAAAGATTTTGACAAGGTCTATTCAGACTAGATTGTGAAAGACTTTGTACTCATCCATTCATTCAAAAATGTTATGGAGGACCTACTGTGTACAGTATACTAGATGAACAAGACCATTGCAAGCCCTGCCCTCAGGGCACTTATGATCCATGTAAGTCATGAGGGAGTTTGAACCTGATCCTCTATGGGGATGGCTTCTAGACTTCACTGGATCATAACTATGACTTTGCTATAGACTTTACTGGATCTTAACTCTGGCAGAGGGGCTTTGGGTTTTCCAGGGAGAGGCTAGGAGACCACAGAGGGCTGAGGTGATAGTGAACAAGATGAAAAAAATAATAATACAAGGGGTTTAATAAGGCAGTAATGGGAGGTGGAAAGGAAAAGTTAGGTTTGGGGTAGATTTTTGAAGTGGAATTAACAGGATTAATTAGCTAAATAGATGTGGCCTGTGAGGTCAAGAGACACAAAGTGAAGGAAATCCCAGAGTTTTCCAGTGTGAAGGGCAGAATGAGTGGGAAGAGACAGGAAATGGAGGAGGAAAGGTTTTTTTCGGAAGAAAAGGACTTGACTTCTGAATCTAAGTTTAAAAGGGCCCTCCAGAACTTCATGGGTGTTTCCTTAAACGGCCCTAATCCTCTCCACCTCTCAGCTTTACCCTTTCCTCTTCTCGACCCAGGAACTTTGGGAAGGTGGGGAATGTGGACAGAATCAGGGCATCTTCAGGGTGTGTGGGAGGAGACCTGATCGGATGTGTAAATCTTGGGCTTCTAAACACCAAACCACAGGCAGAAAATGGAATCCTCAGTGACAACCAGGTCTCTGATTTACATGACGCCAAACAGCAGGTTGTTTGAAGTGTTTATTTTGTCAGATTGGATTTTTTTTAACTGGCTGAGAAGAATGATGACTTTGCCGTAACATGCACAAAAATCTTTCTCACCCATAACATACAAACCCCATAAAGCTACTTCCAGCCTGGATCATAGGCAGGGCCAGCTGATGGCGTAGATCTCATGTGGTTTGCTCTCAGAAACATCAGGAAGGGAGTCTACCCCAAATATCTTCCCCATAGGCTGAAATTCCAACATGAAGGGACCCATTTATTTGGTCCAAACAGGATCACCCTACAGACATACCACAGTGAGATAATATATTTGCTCTCTCTGTGTTTCTCTAAGATATTTGCTTTCTCTGTGCTCTTGTGTCTCCTATATGTGCTTCTATTATAGCAAATGTCATACCACATTATCAGTTTGGATTTTGGTATCTTTCTTCCTCACTGGAGGATGAGCTTTTGAAAGGTGGGGACCATATTCTTACATTATCTATTTTCATATCCCAAACATGTAGCACAACAAACAGTAAATAGTAGATAAATGTTCACTGTTGAATCATAACCAGGGTAACATCCCTCTATGGGTGACCCTCCAGGCCCAACATAGAAAATAAGACAAGGATAAGAAATGGATTTCAACTTATCAAGCCCGGTAAATTACTCTTGCTGCCTGGAGCTTTGTGGGGAAGGAGACCATGATGCCATCTAACCTCAGGAGGAAAGAGTCCCGTGATCAAGTAGAGATGCCCACCGTGGCAAAAGGGGCAACAGTGGTAGCACAATTATTTTCTACCCCTGAACTAAACTGTATTCTCAGTAAGGTAATCATTTACTCCCTCAACCTATAGTCATCGTGCATCTGGCACTGTCGCTAAGCGCCAGGGGACAGGACATGGAGATAATGAACATACAGCCTCATACAGCTACCCTCAAGGAGCCCAGAGATCTGGAAAGTAAATGATGTGACAACACCTGTAATTTACAAAATTGTATAATAATAATTTGATAGATATGAGGTAATGATGATTGTAGTAAAAAAGGAACCAGAAAGCATATGTGTCATCTGCCTGTTATATTGCCGAGGGTGGAGAGCGCGCTGACCAGTGCTCCAGGGAATTCTAGTCCCCAGGATGGGCGATTGCATAATGCCATCATCATTTGGTGATGCATTCATTTGTTCATTTAACAAATGTTTATCGAATGCTTACTACATGTCAGTCCATATGCTAGACACGGATAGGCTATGGCAAGTAAAATAATCTAAACACAGAAGCAAAAAATAAACTAGTCATCACACAATAAAAAGTGGAATGACAAATTCTGATGACTGAGAGCATCCCAATCTGTTTCTTTAGTCAGACCAAACAGTCTTCTGACTGTAATTTTGATCCCTAGGTTGACTCCTTTTAATGAGGAAGGAGTGCGCTAAGCATTTACATAAATATGCCATCCTGGTTTTCTCTTCCGTAGTAAAGGGGCTTACCATTAGTCTCACATATTCAGCGGTTCCGCATCAGCCCTCTGGAGCCCAACTGCCTCCGGGTAACCAATCAGTGCATTTCCAGACAGCAAACCTGTGGACCTCACCTTCATTGTTTGGATCTCAAAAAGTCAGTGCTGCTAGAGGTAGATTGCGCTAACGGCCAATCTCCCTCTCGACATCTTTCAGATGTTTTGAAATCTACATTTCTAACAAACCTAACCTCTTACCAAGACATCACACACAAAAATTTCTACAAAATATTATTTGCAAAAATTGTATGCAGTAGAAAACAGCTCTGAAATAAAGAGAATATGTATATAGTTGGCTGAAGAGGTCCATTACCTAGAAATTCATTAATATTAGATACTATTCCCTTAATCGTAAAACTCTCAAGGTGTGAAAAATTCATCGAAAAGTATACTCTAACATCTAGAATTGTTTCACATTCCATGTTGCCAGAAATCATTTTTCACATCCTCTTTTTTAGTTTTTTGTTGTTGTTTACTATTTTATACAAATTTATATTGCCTGTACCCAGTGTCCTTTTTATAGACCAGTTTCTGCTGCCTGCATACCATTACAACCTCTCAAGGCCCACCTGTACATTCAACACGATTATGCTCTAGTCTCCCTCAGTAAAATAATTCTTCCTTTATTCGCTCTTTTGTGATGAGCGTTATAAAAAGAGGAGTTAAGTAAAAGCAATCGAGGATCACAGAATCTTGGGATTGTTTGCTGCCTCCCTCCTGGTACAGAAACAGCCTCTCCAAACCCTGTAGAAGTCCCAGCGGGGAAGCGCCCTGTGGAGCTGGAGAAGCACTTAAAGCCAGAGTCCCGGCTCAGCTGATGGCTGGCTGTGTGACAACTCTGAACAAGTCAGCACTTGCCGAGGCCTTTAGTTCCTTTTTACAACCTGTTTCAGAGGCTGCTTGTTGTGACATGCACAAAAGTGCCTTGTAAGCTGTGAGGAGCTCCGCCACAGCAAGGGGGGCTGGCAGCTCCATTTCTCACGGGCAGTCCCATCAGCTGGTTAATGCCGTCCAGAGGACAGAGCCCGGGCTCTGCCACAAATAGTGTAAGTCTCCATTTACCCCTTGCATGGCCCTGAACAAGTAGGCTTCACCCTTGGTCTCCTCACACCTACGGTCAGGGTCATGGTGCCTGACTTGGGCAGGGGTTTGTGTAAGAAATAGACAATGATACAGGTAACAGATTGATGCTCGGCCAA